CAGGGCAGAGGGAATAGCATGTGGAACTCCCTGGAGGCAAAAGGAAACATATTCCTTTAGGTAAAAGGAAAGAAATTCTGCATGGCTGGAGTGTAGACGAGAGAGCAGGAGCTAAGAGATGAGATCAGTGCCCTGGCTGGTGTGGCTCAGTGGATTAAGCACCAGCCTGAGGACGGAAGATCATGGGTTTGGTTCCCGGTCAGGGCACATGCCTGAGTTGCAGGCCAGGTGCCCAGCTGGGGGAGTGTGAGAGGCAACCCGTTGATGTATCTCTCACGCATCAATGTTTCCGTCCCTCTTTCTCCCTCCCTTCCTGTCTCTCTAAAATAAATAAATAAAATATGTTTAAAAAAAGATGAGATGGGCCAAGGAGCCAGATTATGAAGGTTATTATGTGCTAAACTCTGGAGCCCCTGTCTTATCCAGAGAACACTGAGATGGATGGAAAGGCTTAATCAAGAGAGTAAAGATATTTCCTTCCTGATAGATCATTCTGGCTGCAGGGTAATGAACAGGCAGGAGGGGTGGCAGTTTCTAGCCTCCCTGAATATGTGAGAAGAGGTGGAAAGGATACTTGCTGTGCCTTAGAGACCCTCCTTTTGGCCGGCCAGATCTGATCGCCCTGGGCTCTAGGTCAGAGCTGCAGTCAGAGGGCCTTGCTACAGCGTACAGCATACAGCCCTAGGCTCAGCTCCATAACCACTCATTCTCTCTGCCCTACTGGCCTAGGGATGGGCACACAGCAGTACTGCACAATCCCTTACAGCTTCTTTATGCCCTGCCCACATATTTGCAAACCACATTGTTATTAAAAACTCCTTGAATGATTCTAATTTGAGTGTGGCAGCTGGTTCCTTTTGGAAATTGTAAGGTCATAGTTCCCTCTCTCTGCAAAAAGAAAAAAGCAGGCAAAAGTGACCTGGGAAAAGCATGGACATGTCTTCCTAAGGATTGTGGTTTGAGAAGTTTGCTGCTTAGGGAAGATAGTGGACCTATTAACATAGTGGTTGTCTTTTAATAGCCTTCTTCTTTTGGTGAGAAGATGCTGCTCATTTAAAAAGGAAAGAAAAAGAAAAATCATTGGAAATTCCACCTCCCAGAGACAAATGCTATTAACATTTTTTGCTGTATATTCGCTACACATTTTCCAAACATATATACGTAAATAATAATGTTCAGTTTTATATGTATGAATCATATTCCAAATGCTATGTCAAACCTACTTTTTCTCACTCACCCATAAGCAGTTGCCAGTGGATTAATCCAAGGAGATGTGTCCAGAAATACAGTCTTGGGGTCACCAAAGCCTCAGGAGCAGAGGAGCCCACCAGGCAGCAAAGGAGGAGAAGAGCAAGGTCGACCAGAGTCCCCAGAACTCAAACACTGACCGGGCAAGAAGAATCAGAGGAGGCAGAGAAAGAGCGGCCATGAAGGCAGGAGAAAAGAAGGAGAGACTTTGGCCTTCGAGACAGAGGAGTGGTCAACAGTGGAAAAGGCCACTGTCAGATCAAATAAGACAAGGGCTTTGGATTTACCAATAAAGAGGCAGCTGGTGGCCAGGATAAGAGTGCTTTTCAGTCAAGTGGTAGAAATGGAAACCAAATTGTGGAAGAGCTGAGGAGAAAATGGTGGCAGTCTGCCTGCCCTTCCCCCATTTCCCATCCCCCCTCGTCTCTTATCGGACCTTCTCCAACACTGATGTGCACATGAATCATTGGGTGTATTGTCCCTGTACAATGCAGATCAGTTTTTAGTAGGTCTTAGGTGGGTGATGAGCTCCCTGGTGATGTGGGTACCACTGACCCAAACTTGAAGAAGCAAGGGGCTAGACTGGGCAGCCCACTGACAAGACCCAGTCTTGATAAGCTCACATAGCACTTTACCAAACACACTCAAGCATGCAGAGATAAAAACTGAATTTTTAGGGTCCTAGATTATTATCCATATCAAAAAAATACTAAAAAGGAAAAGTAAAGGAAATTTCTGTTCTCGTATTCTAATTCTTTCCTGCATATATGCCTTGCTCATGAAATCCCTCCATTTGAGTTACTTGTAAGTGCTTAAGTTTCAAACGTATGAGGATCTTCTAGTTATCTTCTAGGTATTATTTCTACTTGAATTGCATTAGGTCCAAGAACTTGCTCTCTCAGATCACAGTCCTTTGAAATTTATTGGTATTTGCTTTATGGCTCGTAACATAATCACTTTGTGTCGATGTTCCATGAGCACTTGAAAGGAATATATCCTACAACTAATTGTTGGGTGAAGTGTTTTCTGTCTCTTAGGTCAAATTTACTACCTCAGTTGATAGGTCTTCATATTCTATCAATTGCTTTAAAAGGGGGGGGGGCTAAAATCTCCAGGATTTCCACCTGGAAAGCCTTTCCTCCACACCTCTGCTTCCTTGTCCAGACCTCCATCCAACAACTGGGGATTCGTGTTTTCCAAAAGCTGACCTGGTCTATGCAGCCATCCTTGCCCTGATAGAGCTGACAGCCTAAGAAATCTTACCCGATCAGGAACACTTATCCACCACACCTCAGACCTGGAAACATTTCTTGCTCCTCTGAGCTCTTACAACACTCACTGGCTGTGTAGCCAATTTAGTATCTAGTCTGTTTTCATTGCAGTTATTTGTATTCATAATTTACTTTCTTGTCAGGTTTAGACTGTAGGTGGGCAGATTATTCTATTTTTTATTTAACTGCTTTATTGAAATATAATTATTGACAAACCATAAAATCCACTCTTGTAAAGTATACGATTCAGTGGAAGTCTATCTTATTTATTTTGATTCTTTGTAGCAGTGGTTCTCCATCTTGGTTGCACATTGAAATCACCTGCCGAGCTTTAAAAAAATACTGCTGCCTGGTTCTTACCCCCCAGAGGTTCTGACTTAATTGGTTTGGGGTGCAGCCAGGGCATTGAAATTTTTAATAGCCCTGGAGTGATTTTAACTTGTAGCCAAGGTTGCCCTATAGTGCTTGCCACATAACTGGCACCCAATAATTGTTTGTTGTAATCATGCCTGAATTAGCCCTAACTTCTAATATCCAGGTAATTAATTCACCCAAGAGCTACCTTCCTTGTCTCCCTTCTGGCCCATCAGGTCTTATAACATAATATTCTGCTTATTATGTTTATCTACCCCACTTAGTATAAAAGATGACTAGGAGACAAAAGCATTTAGAAAAGATGATTTGATTACTTGTAAAGACATGCAAACTTCAGCAGGATTCTGCTGTAAAAAAAATACAGCAGAATACAAAAGAAATATAAATGTGACATATTCCCAAATTTCTGCATTCAAACATCAGGGATACCATGGTTTTTAATAGGGAATCATTAATTTACAGAAAAAGCTCAAGATTCCATTTGTTTTGGAGACCAGATATAAAAGTAGTTCTGCTACTTTGTTTATGTCAGGGCTGAAAGTGTCCTGTTAGTTTCTTCCTGTGGGACTTGATGTTCACTCTTAAAATGATGGCAGGGCAGTCTCGTTTTTGTTTTCACAGCTGGGAGCAGCATGCAGGCTGGGCCTGTTCCAGTTCTGTACATTATGGCATCCTCATGCTGGCACAGGTTAGGTGTTCAATAAATATTAGGGGAATGGGTATGATCACACCTCATGCCACCACGCTGAAATACGATTTTAACTGTATAGGGAGCTGCACAAGTTTCCTGTTGTGGATGGAAAAAGGGCTTCTATGGAAAGTAACCTCATAGGGTGATCTGATCATAAATTCCTAATTGGGCAGTTCATGTTGGATAGTCATGTCCTAGGCATAGAACTTCTTTAGTAAAAGGCTTATCTTGGCCTTAAGCAAGCCCTGTGCATTGTTTCTGTACATCTGTGGAAAGGTTAACACATCTTTGAAAAGTCCCTTTTCAGACCCCTCCTAAAAAGTGTAAGGTAAACCAATCCCTGCCTAACCTTGCCTCACTTTCTCCCACCTTCCTGTAATCTTGTTTCACATTCTCTCTTTAATCTCAAATGCATAATTTGAGATTATTCTCTGGAGCTTTTGAGATCTTCCTCCTTGGCATATGGTGTCAGTTTCGCTCAAGTAAACTCTTAGAAAAATTCTCTATATGTTTGGATGTTTCTTACCTGAGCACCGTTTTGCTCTTTTTGCAATTCCTAGTTATGGTACTCTGAACTGGGCCACTCCTTAAACTGCCTGAACTACAACAAACTCAGAAGAGGCTTTTACTTCCACATAAACAGTTGTTGGGGGTGAAGGAGGTGGGGGGGGGGCAGATGTCTGTGTAAGTAGGAGCCTCGTGTGTGGAGCAAGGATGATCAGTCCTGATTAATAAATACAAGATTCTCACGTCTGGGAGCTGTCCCTCAGCGAGGCGGGTCATCCTGCCTGTCTTGTAACACCACTTTAGCACCTGCCATTGACACCTCCCCACCGCCAGATCCCAAGGGTCCTCGTGTGCACTCGAGCCGCGCCCCCTGATCCGCCACAGCAGGAGCCCCCCAGCTGGTGATTACGCCACAGGACGCAATGCCGGGCGACTCAGGGCACTAAAACAAAACAAAACAAAACAAAACAAAACAAAAGTAAAACCAGTCGCGCCAAGGAGAGGCTGCGTTATTTAAGCAGCCGGCTACTCCCCCAGAGCCTCCACCCCGTCCCCTGGGCCTGGCGCCCAGCACTCATACGCTGCCCGGCTTCAGGAGCCCCAGCTCCCTCCACGTGTCCTGTCTTCCCAGCAGCCTCCACTGCTGCCTCGGGAGAAACCTGACAACTCGCGGTCTGGGGACTACGACTCCCAGCAGGGACTGCGGCGCTTTTCACCGGCCCCCACTCCAGGGGATACGCAGGCGCTCTGGGCTCCGTCAACAAGCCGGGCTGGAGCCGGCTGGATACAGTTTCTTATGGGATTCGTAGTTTTTCTGACGGTAGCTGGGCCGTCAGTCAAAGGAACAAGAACTACAAGTCTCAGTGGCCACTGCGTGAGGAGCCCGGTCACGTGTCAGGGGGCCGACCGGGCGTGCGTGCCGCCGTTTATCCGGTGCTGCAGTGAGGAGGTGGTTCTCGCCCGTGTTGTGAGTGTGCGTGAGTGAGCGAGTGAGTGAGTGAGTGAGTGTGTGTGTGTGGGACTCGCTTGTTGTTGTCGGTGACTTCCCCCTCCCCTCCACCCTTTCCCCTTCCCTACCGCTGCTGCAGTGGCCGCTCCCTGGGCCGTAGGAAATGAGCGATAACGATGACATCGAGGTGGAGAGCGACGTGAGTCCTGGGGCTTCTTCCTTCTCTTGCGGGTTGTCAGGCGGGGACAGCGGCCCAGACTCTCAGTGGGGCGAGGGCGGCAGGGGGCCGGGCAGCCGCCGACTCCTTCCCCCCACCCCGAGGCTGGGACCGCCTCCGTCGCCCTCCTGGCTTGTTCCCCTCCGGGCTCCTAGCTGGAGCGGCCTTCTGAGACGGGAGGTGGGGAGGAGACATGCGGCTTTTGGGATCTCTACCTCCCCCCATGGAGGAGGGTGCTGCGGCCTCCAGCTCCCACCCTGTCTCGCCCAGGATACAGGGGACAGGGACAGGGTGCGCCCAGGATCCCATTGTCCGGATTCTGGGGAAAGGGACGGCGCCTAGGACTTGCCCCTTGGGTCTGTGATCCTCCTCCTCCCTTGACCTGCGGATCCTGGGGGTTGAGAGTAGACAGAGAGGGGTTGGAGTCTCTGATGCCCCGAGCTGGGTCCGAGGTCCGGAGATAGTCTCCTACTCACTCCAGCCTGAGTCGGATCCCAGGAGGAGGGGCTCTGCTCGGGACCCCCTCCCTGTCCCGCCGCCTGATTCAGCTGGGGGTATGGGAATGTGGGGGAAGGGGGGGGGGTCGGGCTGATTCCCCACCCGCCGCTTCCTCCGCCGCCGGCATTTTCTTTCTTATTATTGAATATGAAGTGTAAAAATAACTTCTATATTTTCTATTTTTTTCTCTCTTATTCCAGGAAGAGCAACCGAGGTTTCAATCTGCGGTACGTCTCCTACTCTCCATTTCATTTTCATTTCCATTCAGTTCTAGTCCTTTTTGGGGTCAGAGAGAAAAAAGATCATTCTGTTACTTTTAATATTGTAGTAATCTCTCCTATTACCCGCTAAGGTGAGGTGGGGCCTTGTACTGGGGTTCTAGGTCGGGGGGGCGGGTTGAAGATCTTACAATTCTACATTCTCAGGTGATAAGTTCCAGTGACTGGGTGAATGAGAGGAGCTGTATGCAAAGAAATTAACCATTCTGTAGCTTTCGGATGGGGGAATCTAGCTGTCACTTTGTATGTCGGAAATGAGAACTGTAACATTCGGAAGTAAAGGTATTGTTCCAGGGCAGGGTGGTCAAAAGATTTACTTTGGAACAAGTAGATTCTAAACTATCTATGTGGTTGAGTGACGCTGAACCCACAGGCAGTCATCACCTTTAACCAAAGTCATGTGACTGCTGTAGACCCATAGAATTCAGTATGCCATGGTATTCTTCTAATGCAGGAATCGGAAATGTAGAGGAGCCAGAGGCTGAATACGAAAGTGTTACATACAGCTCACTGTGGTCTGGCTGTATAGGAGTTGAAGGAGAGGTATAAAGAAAATAGAAAAATTGTTGAAGAAAAATGGCATTGGAGAGATGGTTTTGCTGCAGGGTGATGGTCGAGACCATACAGTGTTTGTCAGTGATATCTCAGGCTTTTGATATTGACTTTCTCAGTAGATGGTTTTATGGATATAGATGTGAATATTGATACAGGTATAGATATACACTAATTTCATGTCTTTGGAGACTGAGACGGTGCCCTGGGCATTTCATGAATAGCTTGGAGAATGAAAAAGACAGACAAAATAAATCAGAGTCAGAAAGGGAAAGAAATAAATACATCACTGTCTAATATTTGACAGCTGGAAACATAGGAAGTGTATAGAATAGGAGTGAAACATTTAGAGGCCTGTGTGGGACACAAGCAATGAGATAGTCAGGAAAAGTGCAGAGCAGAGGCGAGGACTGGGCCGCTGGAGGACACGTGCCTCCTAAAAAGGAGCCACTGAGCTCCAGTGAGTTGTTACAGGGGAGTGAGAGCTTAGTGTTGCCAGGTCTTTTTATTTTTAAAGAAACATTAGAAACCCTTTATGTTATTTTTTCTGATTTTTAAAATGATGTGTAGAACCATCCAGTTATTTGGGGAGCTTGTTAGAATTTGTGGGATGTCACCTTCATACCTCTGGTCAAAGAATTTATTTGCCACAGGATAAAAGTAAGTCCTCTTATATCTTCATTAGAGCAAGTGAAGATTCTGTCGTTTACCCAAGCATATGGGCATTAAGAAAAACTTTATTTATTGAGAATGAATATTTCCATAAAATCCAAGGATGCAGTTTTTCCAGGGGTTTTAAAAATTATCCTGGGCTAATAGCCCCCCAAAAGAATTTTTCTTTCTACTTGATGTATTTTCAGATACTTAATGTTTATACATATATTTGAAAATGCAGTTACTTTTTTTTTTTTTTCTCCTTCAGTTACCTACCATTATCCTTAATATGTGGATGTGGAGTTTCATGTTTGGGACCCAGTCTATTTAAACATTTCTTTTTCCAAGTCTGCAATGATAAGGGCTGCCCCAGGGCTTGATTGCAGTAGGAAGATGGGGATCCGTTAGGCACCCTTTGCAGAAACATTGTTTGAATTGGAATTACATTGGCTTTCCAGTGAGAGAAACATTTTCTTTGTGAAATTTTGGCTTGAATTTTGAAAAGCTTTCTGTTTTCCATAATATTCATCTACATGGATATTGATGTAAATTGCTTTATTAAATTATTAAAGTGTTTCCACTTTCCTAAAATGCTAATCACATTGTTCTGTCTAGATATTTCTAGTTTGGTGTTGAGGTGCCTAGTGTTTTTCTCTTTGATTTGGGGGACTGGGTAAAGGGAGTGGGTTTGACATTTTTGTTCTTAATTTGACATGTCCACTTGCTAAAATTTTAAATACCACCTGGCACAGGTTAATCACAACAGCATGGAGAGAAGAAGCAATAGACAAATTTTTTATTATATCAAACCATTATCATAAATATGTAGGGTGAAATCATAAAATTTCATTATTTTTCTCTGAATACACATGTTTAGTTCCTGATATTTTGTGTAGATAATAAATATATTTTTTTCAAACTGGGGGGGAACTATTCTTAAGCTTTGCCTAGTTCAGAAGAGAGTACAAACTGTGAATAAAACACAGTTAGGAATATAGAACTTTTACAACAGTTACTTGGAAAAGGTTTTACCGGGTCCTAATATGAAAAGAAACATTCACGTTTTGTAACATCACTACCATAGCTACAGACTTACTGCATAAGAGATGTAGAGTACTTCACAAGGAAAGTTAGGAAGTGAAGCTAACTAGAACAGAAAGTGAAACTGACTCGATAAATTTTTGTTGTTGCCTCAGTACAAACGGAAAACAGCTTCAGCAAAACAGCTTCAGCTTCTTCAGTGACCAGTAAGCTGTGTTAAAGGAAGTAACCCCAAACAATATTTTTATTACTAAATTTAATTCTCAGAATCCCACGGATGTTATTTTTATTATTACTTTTTTTAATTTTAAAGATAATTTTCTAGGACAAGTGTATTTCTTGCAAAGTGGTCTTTTAATTTTACTTCTTTTTGGGAAACTCCTTGTGGAAAGAACAACAGTCCACTAAAAGTGTAGGTTAGTGTGTTGGTCCGAAAAACCCAAGGCCTTTTTCAGCTTCTCATCCTTTGAGACAGTAGAACTTGCTGAAGTTGGTGTACCTGTCTGGCATTTGAAAAGGGTTTGTGTACTTTCACTTCTGGACCTTCATGATGCAAAGTATTTTTTAACTTCTCAAGAGCTCTTTGCTTCTTTAGGAATTGCAGTATATTCAGAAGGGAATGAGTTTGGCTGCCTTTGAGATTGGAGTTTACTCTGAAAACTACTGTTTTACCTGGAATTAGTTGCTTGGTGAAGTGCTGTATAATGCATGTACTTTGTGTCTGCTTAAAGTGTTGGCAGTGATACAGAAATGCCAGGTTTGTTTCATAAATGTGCCGCTAGATTAAAGGGTGTTCTTATAGTTATCCTTTTTCAAGATGCTGGTATTGGTGACATAGTTGATCAAGGAATCCATCTTGGTTTTCAGTTAAAATTTTCTGACCAAAGCATTCTTACTCTCTCAATGGCTATAGTATGGCGGCATGTTTGGGTAGTGGTGTTACCAAGTTCTTCTAGGCACCACATGATTGTTTTTAAAAAGTTTGAAAACACGTATATTTATTGGATGTTAGAAATACATAACAGGCTTCAAGCAGGAGAGGTGTTGGGAGCTGAAATTTATAGCTTCCTATTAAGGACCTTAGTGAGTTTCTCATTCTAGCTGCCTCTTACTTCATGTTCTGTTTTTTCATGTTGATTAAAATGAGTTCCTTAGAAATTCCATTTTATTTATTCTCTTCTCTTCTTATCTGTCAGATGTAATAAATAGAACTTTTCTGATGAGAATTTTGAGCCTACGTATTTTCAGTGTTACTGTGCAATAAGAATAGCTTATTAATAATCATAAGCAATTCTAATTCCCTGTGTGCTGAGAAATTTCTGTATTGGAATTGAGAAGACTCCCCTTATAGCCAGGGTGGTGTGAGGTAGCCTGCAAGAAATGGCATTGTTCTGGAGAACCTGTGCATTCTTCAGTAATGAAGTATTTATTTCCCCATGCTGTTTGCCTACCTAGAACTTAACAGAAAGTAAGGCTGCTGACTGATGTAATGCCTTGGATGAAGATGCATTCTCTATGCAATAAGTTGGAATGAAATAACTTAAAAAGATTTCTCTCAATTTTGAACAGACCTCCTTAGCTTGAATGACCTCCTGCCAGTTTAGCAATTTCTTGGCTAACAAAATAATGTTTGCTTTCAACATTGAACAACACTTAAGATACGTGTGCTTGTTAGTGTCAGAGATGGACGAATTGTAGGTGAAGATTTTTATTCTGGCTGCCAGTATGGAAAGTTTGGTGGAAATATAACTGAGAAGCTGAATAAAAATCTTGGCAGAGATGTCAAAGCTGGAAGTGATTTGGCACTGGAGCTCCTGTTGAGCATCTGTGGGCCACTCTTCAGGACCGCTCAGCCTCTCCCGCCAGCCTGGAATGCCCGAAGGCAGGGTTTTCTGGCCGAAACCTCGAATCCAGTGTACTTGAAGAACAGCAGCATCCAGCCATTGCTCCTATAGGATACAGAGGAGAGGAATGTGGGGGGCTGCTGTACAGCCCAGGAATACCTCTGTTGTCTTCCTAGAATTTGTTTGGTACAGCCCACTTTTATAATGAGACATCTTAGTACAGGTGAGAGAAAGCTGGATCAGCAGAGTTGAGCTTTATTTGTTGCAGACACAGTTGTTTGGAGTGTTTTTTTATCTTAAAAAAACAGCTGTAGTTTTAAGTTTGTGGGAGGATTTCAGATGCCTTACACTAGGATTCTTCACTCAGTTTTTGATTATCAACTCTGAAACCTTGGCCCTTTCAAAAAAGGTTGCCATCAAGTGAAGACAGTTAACAAAGCAGTGATAAGCCTGGCACCTGGTCCTCCGTTTGGATGAATTGGTTGGGTGGGGGAGCATGTTATCTGGCAGGATGGATCTGTGGTTTGGATTTGTTTCCCAAACAATTCTCTGCCTTGTGTAAAGGTTTTTCATAATGCTCTTTCAAGCCACTAGAGGTATCACTTAGTTCAGAGTTGCCTGAAATTAGGCATGTTAGTTCTGCGTATTTTTAACTTGCTCTTTTAAATGAGGCTTGGGGAGGAGAAAAATACATCATTGCCGTGTCTCTGAGAGTTTTAAAATTGACTCTGGTTAAGTGTGGCCACTTGGGGATGGATATGGCAGCAGGGATTGGGCTAAGATTCCATTCTTCTGCTAGTTAAATTGGACCTGGAATCACCACAGAAATTCCATCCACTGCTTTGAGAACAACAGTCCCCAGCCCAGGCTTTCTACCAGGCAGTGGACTGCTGCCTCTCCTTGTTGAGCCAACTTCTCAAACTTGGCTGGCTCCCCAGATGAGAAGCCAAGATTTCTGCTGATGGTCCTCAGCCAAGTTCACTTACAATCCTCTAACCAAAAGACTTGTCCATTTGAGTCCTTTCAGGGCTCAGTGAATGGGAAGGGGGTAGTGCATTGTGGGGATGATTTCAGTATTAGATTATACTTAGCTCCACTTCTCTAGTGTAGGCCTGAGTGAAACCAAGTTCACTTGATTCTAGATTTGCGAGGCTCTCCCAGAAAGAAAACAGACAATTAGAATTTTATTTGTATCAACAAGAGGGATTGTGGGTAACTCTGGTGTCACTGCTTCTGTGCACAGCTCTTAAGCTGGGAGGAGGGCCAGGAATCGGGGTGATTTAGTAGACAGCAGTATCTTGGGCTGCTGCTGGAGACCAAAGCTGGGCGATTAATTTGCATGTAAATAAACCAGCTTAGGGAATATGTAGCAAACACAGGAGAGGCAGATAGATGCCAAATGCCATCTCTCAGCCTTCGAAGCTCGATGGGTATAGTCCAGGTTAGAATTTACCTGTGTGGGTTACTAGAGAGAACAGTAAGCTAAAAAAGGGCTCCATACTTAAATATGTTTAATTCTTTCAAGCTATTTCATACTGCTGCCAAAGGCATCTGTAGTTCTCTTGCTCCGATGCTGTATGATACAGTGCACTACTTCTGGCCTCAAGTTACCTGTCTCAAGCTTGATCGTTCCCTCGGTTTCCCCATAAACTCCATGTATCACCGAAGTTCAGCAAACACTCATTTTACAGTAACTTCAGATTTTAAAATTTAGGAGGGCTTTAGAAGTGCTCCAGGCATCTGCCCTGAAAACAAGTGCTATGTTCTGCAGAACCAAGGCTGTGATGGGAACCATGTGTCCATTTCAGCAGAGCTACAGGTGAGGTGTTGTGTTTGAGAAACCAGGAAGTGACTAAAATTACTACAGCTGCTCCCAACCTCCTCTTCTGTAGTGACTCCTGGACTATACCCTCAGACTTTTAGGGTTAGATCATGGAATTTCAAGCCCTTTCATTCCCACAACTCTTGTCTTTGTGGATTTTTGTCTGTGCATCTTATGTAGTACAGGGATTCATTTGAGGCTTTCTTGTGCTAAGCAAGCTGTTTACTCTTGTTGCTTCATTTTTTTAAATTCCTGTGCTCTGTCTGGATAGATTAAAGCTACCTGAACTACCTGTATACAGATTTGTTCTTCAGGTTAGCTCAGTGCACCCTTGTGTATTAAGGGTAAATTCTCAGAGTGTATTATTTTCCATAATTCTTAAGGTGTAGCTGTAATGAAGTTCTTGCTTAATTTCAGTAAGCATTCGTGTTTCATTTGGAGGGAATGCCCCTTTAATGGGGACCTGCTGAAGCTCTTTTGCAGTGCTCTCCAGCGCTGTCTTTTCTGCCTGACGCCAGTGCCATTCCTGATTTGTTGGCAGTCTTCACCCCTCTCCAGCTGATTGTTCTTAGAGTTCTTTGTGAGTCTAAGCAAGACAGGATAAAGACCTTGGTTTGTGGGTATTTAGATACTGCGTAGTAATCACAGCCTGCCATGGGTACCCTAGGATATTTATTCAGAGCCTGTGCATGTCAAAAGTTGCCGTCTAAGAACTACCTTTCAGTCTCAGCCTGTGTGAGGGGAAGCCCTTGGCAGGGTGGCTACTTGAATCCACTTTAAAAAGATGGGATGTTAGAATATAGTTGGCGTCTATATTAGTTCTGTCTTAATGATCTCAGATTCATGCATCCTGGTTTTCCAGAGGGTTTAGTTTCTGCTGTATGGTTTGGTAAGAAGGTCTTAAACTAGTACCTTTTAGCAAGCTGGAGACCAGAGCAGACTCGTGGTGAGGCTTCACATGGAAAGAAGCCCTACACCAGTGCCCTAACTCCTTTCTTGGGCGCCCACCATGGGGTGTCACTTACTTACAGTGAGGTTGAGTCAACTTTATGAAGGAGTCCACTGGAGCTTTTCTCTGGTCACCATGGACTGGTGGCTTTTCTGTCATATAAGTAAGTTGTAAGAAAAGACTGGTGCTGTAGAAGAGTCACACTTTGTCCCCATGAATAACTTTTATTTTACTTATGCATGAGCTGGATGCATCGAGCTACTTTGGATGTTCCTGTCACAAGGCTTGCTGACCCCTTTCTCCCCCTTTAGCAGAACCTAATTCTGGAGACTCCTAACTGCCCACATCAACAAATCCTTCCCAGTCCATTCACCAGGGACTGCGCTGGCAGCATATACTTCCAGGCTATAAGCCACCCACCTCTAGTAAGCAAAAGGAATGATTTTGCTAATGTGCTCTTTCTTCTAGGCTGACAAACGGGCTCATCATAATGCACTGGAACGGAAACGTAGGGACCACATCAAAGACAGCTTTCACAGTTTGCGGGACTCGGTCCCATCACTCCAAGGAGAGAAGGTGAGTTTATTAAGAAAGCTGGTTGGCCCTCACTAGCTTGGAACCTGCTGTGGAGCTTATCAGTGCACTCACCTGCCGGGAGAGAAACTGAGGCAGGGATGTTCAGGTATCATGGTTTCCTTAATTTTTTTCTTTGGAGGATCATCACACACACCTCACCTACCTTAGGAAATAACGTGAGCTACTTATAAGGCATCAGTAGGAGTTGTCTTAATTTAGTATTACTTGTAATGAGTTACTCATTCAAGAATTATTATAACAATACACTATAGTATAGACAGCAGCCCGCAGTAGTTTGTGATGACCCAAAGGACTCCTGCAGTCAGTGATTCCCTACACCTCCATGAGAATTCCTTTTATTTGGCTCAGAGTTAATGCTTATCTTAAATGAAACGTCCCAGGAATGTATGCGAAACAGCCTGGACACCAGCAATCTCTCTGTTCCAACAGCTGTTATTTCAAAGGCATGTGAAGAGCTTTTTAAGCTATGGGACCCAAAAAATAAAACCTTAAAGAGCTATATTCATATGAGATGAAAAAAAATTTACTGATCCTATACCCCCACCCCCCACCACCTACCCCACACTAGTGGCCTTCCAGAGACTAATGTTTTCCCTGGAGAGAGCGGTACCAGCTGTTTCTACGTTTGAAAAAGTCGGAGGCTTTCAGTGAAAAAGCCTATGGTTAGGTTCACTCCTTGGGGTTGGGAAGAAACTTCTGTTTGCAGTTAGTTTTATCCTTGACACAGAATGTATTAACTAGCTTCCACTTTCTGCTGCAATTCAGTGGTATAAGTGGCCAAGCTGACCTGTGTTTTTTTGGTTCAGTGATCTGATGTTTAAAGAAGCAGCCATTAGGAAAAACTTTGCTCTCAGGTGTACTTTGAATGGGTCTCCTGATTTAGCTCTTTGGTGGGGTCCTGGGTTTGTTTGGTTATCCGTTCAAATTTGGAATCACTTTTGGTTTCATTTTTTGTATGCTGCCACTCTGGTAAGTCATATACTTTATACCTTATCTGAGGTGTGGCTTTCTGGGTGGCTGAAGCATGGGGTAGGTCTGACCTTTATGAAGACAATAAAACAGGCCATGTGAATAACCTAGTATTGCAAAACCAGAATTTGCCATGGGTTAGGCCTACTTAGTATAGACATGGTTTAATGTCCTTGGACCAAGGTTCTTACCTGGAATAACCGCATTCCTGGGCGCAACACTGTCTAAAGCGCCACAGGAAATCTTTATGATGGGGACAGAGACTCACCCTTTTAATCAAGGTGCACACGTGCAAAGGATTACCTTCTGTGTGTGTCTGAACCATTGGCAGTCAGTGCTTATTCATATGCCCTGGTATCACCTAAAGTGGCTTTGGTGAGCTGAATGCACAGAACTGCCTTCTCTAACTCGCACGTCTAACCAGGAGTGGTGCCGCGGCAGTGTCCCAGATGGGGCCTGTGGACCACCCACATCAGAATCACTATTGAACCGGCCTCTCTGGAAGCAGGTCTGGGGATCTCTGTTTATAAATAAGCAAGCAGTCAGGTGACTCAGGCATCCTTAAGTTTGAGAACACTTTGGAAGAAGTGGGTCATAGGAGCTCAACTATGCCTTTTTTCTTTATCCAGCCTATTTTACATTGCCCTTACATTCTTCCTTAAGTCCTTAAAATCACATCATCCTAAATCCTATGTCTCCTCTCTTCAAGGAATTGATGGTTTGAATTTGGTAGCCTTACATTCTGAATAGTTTGTCATTCATTTTTGGCCTTTTTGTTTATTCACTTATTTACTCACTCCATTCAGCAAATATTTATTGAGGGTCTGCTACATGCCACGTACTGTTTTATAATGCAGTAGTGAACAAAACAGACAAGTAGAAGTTCTTCTGATGAGGAAAAGACAGAAAATGAACTAATAATTTAAAATATAACTGACTGGCATGGCTCAGTTGGTTGAGCATCGACCTGCAAAGCAAAAGTTCACTGGTTTGATTCTTGGTCAGGGCATATGCCTAGGTTGCGCCCAGGTCCCCAGTGGGGACATGTTCAAGAGTCAACCAATTCATATTTTTTTCTCTCCCCCGCTTTCTGTTCTGTAAAATCAGTGAACATATTATTGGGTGAAAATTAAAAGAAATTCACACACACACACACAGAGAATCCAGAAGAAGTAATGCCATTGAGTTTGGTTGGTAGGGTATGTGAATATGTTTCACTCAAGATGGACAGCAATTTGAACATTTCACCTAAAATGTCATATGGTGTACTTGAGCGTGATATTGTTATGTTACAGAAATACATGCTTATAATTTTGTAATAAAAGGTTTAGTATAGCTCATATTAAAAAGATTTAGTATAAGCCATAAATCAGCTTATAACACAGGGACGTTATTTGTGCCAGGCCATATATATATCTGACTATATATATATAGTCAGATAAGTGCTATGGAAAAAGTTGTACAGGGAAGAAAGGGTTGCCATTTTTATTAGGGCACGCAAGAAAACTCAACGTTAAGGCAACATATGAGCAAATATTTGGAAGTAGTGAAAGAGAATTGTGCACCTGTGTGGTGATGAGCACCACAGGCCGGGTGAAGGTGAATGTAATAGCCCAGAGGCAAGAACCTGGGAGCATTCCTGGGCCCAGCAAGGAGAACAGAGGTCAAAGTGGTTACAGTGGAATGAGTAAAGGGACAATGGCAGGAGGTGAGGTCAGAGAAGTAAGGGACTAGGGGAGGGGAGTAGAGAAGGGGCCAGGTTTTGTAGAGCCCATCAGCACTGCCCTGACATGGGAGTTTACAGGTGCCTTTCCCATTTCAGAACCTTGCCCTGTGTTTCAGTTCACATATTTCACATTGAGTGTGCGTAAAGGAACTGGCTGTTACCTCTGGTCCACCCCCAACCCCTTTTCATCTAAATTCCACAGTCTTCATTAATCTCCTTATCTGCCAACACTGTTTCACAAATCTACGGGGAGTCTTACAGAATACTTCCGTCTCTTGACTTCCGAGTTTTCACTAAATGTTGCAATTTTTTTTTAATGTGGTATTTGACCCAAAGGAAATTGGCTAATTCTTGATTTGGATTGCAGGAATTAAGGTTATGACATTATGTGAATAATCATGAATGATTATTTTACCCTGTTTCAGGGATCTTAGATGCTTGAAGGGAAAGCCTTTAGTGTCCTTTGTGACTTCTCCTTGAGCGTTCAGCCTGTCCGTTGTCCGTGTCCTAAGTCTTTTGTTTTATTAAAGGGAAACCATTGCTTGGTTTGGATTGATTGGATCCTAACCAAGATTGGGGGATACTTGTATTAAATAAAAAGTTTGACATGTAAGACCTCAACCCTGTTTATCCTTTGTATCCTGTATTTCTGTTATAACACAAACATTATAAAGAATGGTCACCTTTTGCCTAATTTAAAAAATCAGTGATAACTGACATCTGTATTGCACGGTAGTTAAATCAGCACAGCAGTTTCATGAGGTGAGTGTTACATTACCATTGTAATTGGACAAACACTCCTGATGCTTGCTTCTGCCATTATTACTGTGTCAGAGGTGAGGAAGCTGGCTCAGTATCGTGACTCCAGGGGCCTAGATTATGGACAGGGGCTAGGACCCAGCACTGCCAGTTGCCAAGCTTTATCTTTCTACCACACCATTGGGTAAGCAGTTTAAGGATACAGGTGCTTCTTGGTTTATGATAGGATTTTGTTCTGATAAACCCATTGTAATTTTTCATAAGTCAGAAATGTATTTAATACACCTAATCTACTAAGTGTCATAGTTTAGCCTAGCCTGCTTAAATATGCTCAGAACACAGTATCCAAAACATGCTGCTAACAGAGTGTATGTAGGGCATCGGCCATTTGCCCTGGCGATCGTTCCTGTGCCTGCCCGGGAGCTGTGGCTCGCCGCCCTGCCTGGCACTTCACAAGAGTGTCGGGCTGCATGTGGCCAGCCCAGGACAGGTGTGTATTGTTTTTACACCATCTCAAAGTCAAGAAATTGGAAGTCAAACCATCATAAGTCAGAGAGTATATTTTAAAGAAATTTTGCTTAAATATTTATATCTTGTTTTGGGGAGGTTCCCCTGGATGAAACCAGTAATCTTGGCATACCAAGACTGCTGCTAAGACACTCTGCTCTGAATCAGCATGTGTAGGTAACGCTGAAGTGCAAAGAGTTGGGGATCATTTACAGTTTATAATTTTTCTGAGTCCACATTACTTCTCTGAGAAATAGACCATTACATTTGACTATTCATTTGGGTTTTCCCATAGACTCCATGTTAGCAAGTGGACTCGCGAACTCGGTTGTTTTAGTCTTATTTCCCATGTAGTTTTTCAGCTGGATGGATGGGATGAAGTAAGGACCATCAACCAGTCAGCCAGGATAAGGGGAGTAAGAGCAAGAACAACTGTGGCTCCATTTCTTATTGGAAGACTTACTTTTCTTGAACAGAATTAGTCTTTGTTTTTACAGTCCTAGATTGGGTACTAGTGAGTGCTGACCAAAGGCGCTCGCTGGTGCTGAGCTCCCCCTGTTTATGTGGGGACAAGACCTGGTGGTCAGCCGATCAGTTGCCTTTACCTAAGGATATAATTCTGCCCTCCACCCGGTAAGTTAGCCCCGGCACCTGAACCAGAGTGATTACATCCAGTGACACTGTCTCCTTAGCATGGCTGACTTACTGATAGAAGATTCTGTTTCAACATTGCCACAGTACAACATTTATAGCTGTACTGTGGTTTGTAGAAATTTCTCATCTTTTAAGTCTCTTGCTAAATGCCTGTTTGTCATAGTTAATTGCTTTCTCAGGCAGTGCTGCTCTGGATTTCTCCTTTCTGCATAGAGTTGTGTTAAAAAGAGGGAGTATGGCCTAAAATGAAAATAAAGAAAAACAGGTTTCTTCTAGCAAGTATTAAGTTCAGAATTCCCCCATTTTGGGTGAGAATATGAGGGCACTGCCCGTCAGCCCCTGTCAGCCCCTGTCGCAGGCCCTG